AAACTTATGCTGAGTTTCAGCACACAGAGTCTAATGGCAGTTTGGTAAAGTGATGTAATTTGGCACTTCATATAGAAATTATTATTCCAGCAGGACTACCACCTGTGAGAAAATCTGATGTAACCCTTCCAAATCTAGTTATTTCATTTACAGTATTTAGATCCAACCAATTTTGTAAGACAGGTCTAACACCTGTTTGGATTTCCCTCTAGTCATCAGGCACAGATATCAGCAACAGGTAATTTGTGAAGCAAAGGGATCAAAATGGTATTGTGTACAACTTTTCTCTATGAATTTACCTTGTATCATTAGACTGCCACAACTACATTTGTAGACAAATGGCACAGATAGGGAAAACTGTTAAGTTATTTTCAAGATTGATATTTCTTTCTGTTGCATTTTAAATGAGAAAATAATCAAACAATTGGAAAGAAAAATGGCATCCAAAGATAAAAGGAAAGAAAAGGAAGAGAGAAGGCATGGAAATATGCAATGTCTTCCTGGCTTTATACCTATAGCAGTTAGAAAACAAAGAGGCTGCCTCCTAAGTAAGTTGAATTGGGGAAAGTTGGAGTAAGTGGCCACTCACAGTCTTGAAAATTCTCATCTTGAGCTCTTGTGTGTGAGAAAGGAAAAGTGGGGATCAATATGGATGATGCTAGAATAATCACCATTTTACACACATTGTATTAGTTCTTGTTAGAAAAGATGATGACTGGAACACACAAAAAATCAGACATAAGGCTTTGCACTTAATGCCTCTGAAAAATGTCTACTGGGATCTTTTCTATACCATTCACTTTCCCTCACTGTAATCTCGAAGCCCCTTTTGGAGATCAACCTTATCCTTTAGAGTTGGGAATTATTTCCTCAATTATCAAGCAAAGAGGTTCTGATCAGTTTAGATTTTAATGAGAAATTCAATCACTTCACTAAAATTACTACTTTATACAGGAAATTAGTGGAAAGTTTTCTTATTGACAGTGAAGAGGGCACCTGCACTGAAAAACTGTAAAAGAAGATACACCAGTTCCGTGAACTGATCTACAGCTATTGTTGCAGAAGAGTTTCACTGCTTTTTAAGGGGTGGGAGAAACAGCACAGGCAGAGAGAGCACGCATTGCAGTGCATATCATTGTTCTATGGGAAGAAGGAAAGTTTTGCACATCTGGGAACAGAAGTCTGAAAATACAAACACAAAATGCACTTCCTGATCATAATCCAGCTTCTGCATGAATTTGTATATTAACATTTTCCCCAGCTTGAAGTTGTTCAGTTTTACACATACAGCTTATTTACAAGCAGTATTATTTCAACCTACAAATGTTGGATGACAAAGATCTGACATTACAAGGGAGGACTAAAAACCGTCTGTCAGAATCACCTTGCAATACTGAGAGCATTGTATCAGTTCGCCTATGCTACCAAAAGCCGTAACAGTACAATCAATGAGGAGAACTAGCAGCCTTGTTTAAACGGAAAATGGTGACAAGTTGAACAGCTGCCAAACTCACCATCGTTTCTGAAACCATTTTCTATAGTTAAGTAGCCTTAAGCTGTGTTTCTAATATACATATACAAATGTATATATATATATACATGATTTTTAATGACAGTATGTCTGAGTATCTTGCACATACCTATTACACAAAGACATTCTTATATTGTTATATATACTACAGCTTTGGAATACCAATGCTAATATGAAGCAATTGGCCCATAATAATAAAAGCAGGCCTTTCCACTTTTTTCTGTGAGATTTTTCCCACATTTTTTCTTTCCTGTCTTCCTCATCTCTCTTTTTAGTACCCTTTCTTCACCAGAGTTGAAGACCATTTACAAGCTGATCTATCACCATTTGCACCTCTCTTCTTTGCTCTCTGTTTCACTTTGGTTGCAAGATTCATCACTAAGGTAGTTCCTACTGTAACTATGAGGCTTAACTTAATGTACTAGAAAAGCTAGTATATACTCTTATTATGAGGCTAAACTTCACATGCCAGAAAAGCAATGCTTACAGTAATGGACTGTATCTGCACCCAGCAAAAAATATCAAGAGTAAATCAAGAGCAAATTGAGAATGTAACTTCAAATCTCTAATCTCTCTGTATAACACGTCATCATCAAGATAAACAAAGTTCTGCAGTTCTTTTGAAACACACTAAAATGATAGAAATTTTGGAAATGTCAATCAAGGATCTGCTGATAAAAACCAGCTTCTGAATGTAATGAACACGTGGGAGTAGTTGTTGTCAATCAAAAAGCCTTGACTTGCCCTTTCAAGAGTCTCTCTTCATTTCTGATATGCTCCCCCTGCTAAATCTTGAAAAATGATCTTACCTTTCAAGAATTGCTTCTGTCTTTACCCATCATGATCCACATGCAGATATGGTGGGAGATGTATTCATTCAGATCCCTCCCTACATAGATTTAGATGGCTTGCTACTTTAAGATCCTAGTTGTATATAGGTTCATATATATATGTATACAAAGTGGCCAGCTATTTGTCTTCGTATGCTTCCCTAGCAGTCATAATGCTTGCAAGAACATACACTCAAGTTTCTGAGCTCAAGCTCCCTCTCAGGACGGCATGAAACACCACAGAATTACAACCTAACAACTCCCCTTACACATTGGGGTAAAACCCCAGCCTTACTGAAACTCTCAGTGTCTCCAAAGGGGAAGGATTTCCCCTTTTAGTTATTTAAATTAACTCTTAATCCAGGATTATAGACTGCTTAATACATGAACTACCTCTCACCTTTTACAGCATCAAGTTTAAGAATAACCATTATTGACAATACTGCTTTGACTCTATAAGGTACTTTTATTTAAAATGAGAATAAAACCCCAATGCTATGTCTCATTTCTCATATTGCAATAGCTTAAGCAAACAATGAAAAAATAGGTGTATCTTGTGATCTTAACAGCCATTATTTACTAAGATCATTTAATCTTCTACATAAAAGTTCAATATTAAACAACACAAAGAGGAACAGAAAAATTATCAAAAAACAGTTGGGCATGAACCACCTATAGTTTCAAAAGGACTATTATCTAATTAAATTTGCTATTAGAGTCAAGATTACACTTGCTTAAAGCAAACATGACAAGTTCACTTACTGATGTTACCAGAATGATATGATCTCATCAAAATTTGATTAAGCCAGAAATCAGAATTTATAACAGAGGCCAAATCCTGCTTTCTGATTCATGTATGAGTTTGATCTTATAGAAATTCACCCCTAGTTTAACTCTATCAATCAAGAAAGATCTGGCCCACTGAACTACTACACTCAGGAGTTTAAGGTAAGAAATATTTGGCCCAAACTCTCTCTCAATAATGCAAGATACAATCTACTCTATGTAGCCAAAGCAAAGCTTTATTGATAAAAGCAGCTTTATGCAAATGTTCAGCTATAAATTACTTCTAAAGAGTTGGCACTGCAATGTTCAGACATCTATTTAAAAATACTATTTTGTTCTTTTTGGGTGCTTATCAGATAAACTTTGTTCATGTGAATCTAATTATTCAGGTTTTTGCTAAGTTCTTTCCTGTTGGAGCTTCTTGCAAAGTGACTTCAAACTGTTTCATTTTCTGAATAAACTGAGTGATTCCAAACAACTTTTGCTAGAAGAGGAATAAATTAATGATAGGGAGCTCAGAATCCTTTTGGTCTTCAAAGCCTTCAAAGGATTTAAAACATAGAATTTAACTCTTCCCGTCCCCCTCTTTGAAGTGGGTCATTTTTAGTAAAGCAACTTAGCCTCAGGTTTCTTCAGAGCTAGTGCATTACACTATTCTGCGTAGTACCAGAAGTGCTAACAGCTTAAAACATTACCAAAGAATGGTAGTCTGAAGAGTAGTGTTTAAGAAAAAAATCAGAAACAAGTAAGTTTTTTCTGCAAAAATTAATGTGGTATCTTTCTATTTACAGGCCCCAAATCTAGGAATACTATTTTATTCAAATACTAGCCAGAGTGGAAGATAGAAAAGTTGAGAGAAAAATCCATGGGAAAAAGCCTTAGATATGAAAAACTCAAACCACTCACTTCACATCACTTTAATTACTATTGGTCTTTTTACATTTACTCACTATACTCATTATAAACTTAGCCAATTTAAGAGAAGATCATTAATGCCAAATAGGATTCTCTCATTTCAGTGATATTTCTTAGCAATCACCTAGAAAAGACTGAAGAAAGAAAGGCAAATGATCTAAATCAGGAATATGTTTTCATTGCAAAAGAATTTGAATTAATAAATTTTGAGATACCCCCAAAATTTCCTGAAAAACCAAAAACTTCCACTTATATTAAACATTTAGAGTGTATTCAGCCTTAGACACACTACATTTAGGTGTCTATATACAGCTCTTTATATTTAAGCTCTTACTATTAAAGGGGACGTAGTCATCACAGTTGGTGAAGCCACAAATGTGGGTCAGTTCACCCTGAAGCACATATCTACATGTAACTCTACACAGAGCTGAGTAGATTCAATCTCCTTTGATTGCAAATGGGAGCCAAGACAACCAGCTCATGTGGAGACACATACAAAGACCTAATTTTAGGTGTTGGGTGTTGAATTCTATCCTTGGTTTCAAAGCAGTCAACACTTTGTTTCTGTTTTTCTTAATAAAGATGAAGTAAAGTAAATCTCAAAATGAAAATGGAAATATCAGTTACATATGGTGAAATTTCATCAAAATCAACACATTCCATAAGAAAAGTCTAATTTTAATAAAACAGTCTTTTTTAGTTTCCTTCCTTTTTCTCCTTTAAGGCAATAATCCTAATGGATATAAGACTGATCTTGTTAAGAGGCTGTACATGTACTCCAGAATAAATCCTCATGAACAGGTACTCAATAATAAATAATTTCAGAGCTCATTGAAAAGTTATGACACAAATGTAAACTATTGGAGGAAGGACCTCAACAGCAAAGAGGCACTAAAATAAGAAAAATATTAATACTAAATATAAAGTTATTTTCCTACCTGTGTGCAGACAAATTACTGAGGTACAGGGTGTATTTTTCTTCAGCAGACAGCCCATCCATCATCAAGTAAAAAACATGAAAATTACTCTGTTTGAGAGGTTGCATAATGACACGAGACTTCTCCAACATGTATGTATAAATCCTAGCTGATTGAGAAACAAACAAATAAATTCATCATTATACTGATTGTTCTAAACTTAAAAATTTTAAACCATTCACCATTGCAACACTAAGAATAAACAATGTTTCTTATAAAACAGTCTGAGGTGAGCATGATATCAAAAACATTACTATTCATTCTACCATGGTTTTCTATATAAATCGCATATAAACCCCTCATTCCATTAAAATTAGTGGAACAAATGTCTTACCTTACTTACTTACTGTCTTACATTACCTTTAAAATTACTTAATTTTAAAGATAATGATGTTGATTTGTACTCTGTTTTACTTATTTGAGGAACCAGTTGTCATATTTGGGAAGACTTTCTAAGAGGCAAGCTGTTAGCCATCTCACTGAAGTGTAGCCATCTGAGCACTGACATCTATTCTAAGCTCCCTCTTAATGGAGAGAGAAAGATGCAAGAGAGATTCAAGACATCTTAGAAAAACTGCCCTTGGAACCATTTCCTCTTTCTCTGTTGGCAATCAGGAATGCTCAGATTAATAGTTTAGATTAACCACCTAACTTCTAGATGGCTACTTCTAGAGGGCTACAAAGAGACAAATCCTCTACAGAACTGGTCATCAACAAGCTCACTAACCTGTGCCTGGGGAAACACGGGCATCTCAGAAGGGTTATGATGAGCTGGCCAAATAAGAAGCCATGTGAATCAGCACATCTGGGAAGAAGGTGAAGGAGGACGAACCTGACCACGATTTGCCTACAGAAATGCTGATTACAGGATCACAGACAATCTGAGGCCCACTAAGGTTCTGAAAGAGGCAAAGCACAGAAGCAGAGGAAATATTGGACCCTCAGATCCATTCACCTGCTTCACCTAATTACAGGTATTTTAGACATATTTGTGAAGAGACAGAGGGACATTCACGGTTTTGGGCAGACTACTCTTCAGCCCTCCACTGAGTGTACACCACCATGCAGTTCCAGATGCATAAGGCTAAAGAGAACACGGGAATGCCTAACTGTAGCTAGAGGTCAGGGCCCTTCCTGTGAGCGAGGACCTGATTCCAGCTCCCATTTACCCACTGTTTGTACACTTTATCTCATCATTGCTTAAATACTAGCTGTGGTGCAAAGACCAGAAGCATGTCCCTTCACACACAACTGAGCACCCCCACCACTAGGATGCAGTACATTCTGTTGCAGCTTTACCCCTTTCAATCTCTGCAATGTGGCAGAGCTTTCACAGGGTCTTAGCGAGCATCCTTAGCCTGGAAAAGACTGTTGAGTTTAGAGGATAAGGTGCACTTCTCAGCAATGGAGGAGCTATATTTTTGAAACCCTGTAAGCAGAGGAGGATATTAAACCATAGCTTCCCATAGTCTGGATGACAACCAACTCATCTAAGACTCCTTCCTTTATGAACTGGAAGTAGTTCATGAACATTCAGTGATAGAAAATACTGGTACATGCATCCTGTAGCACAGTAAGTATGTTCTCTAAACACATACCGTTTTTGAGCCACTCATGGTTTTTTAGAATTTTTTTTTAACTTATTGGAAGCAAGTGGGGATTAAGCATAAAACAGCACTGAGTTATTCAGTGCAGTCAAAACTGTGGCATTTCTAGGCACAAGCAGAAGCACAACTTCAGGTGTCTGACAGACCTGAAGTTTGAAGGCAGAGTGGGAGTTTAAAGACTTCTAAAGATGGGGATAGTTGAAACAGTATTTTCAGAATCAGTTTTGGACTCAAAGGTATCACCCAATGCAATGCTGAGCAAAGCTATGAAGGTTAGATCTCGGTGTGTGAGTGTGTATCAGAAGCACGGTAGTTGCATTAGCCTAATGGCTAGGATAGAAGCCAGAATGTCATGCTCCTGCCACCATACATCTGCTAATATCCACAATAGCTCATTCAGAGTTAGCTTGGTTATTGCCATACCATCTGTGTTTGTCTGGTAATTATATTTTAAATTTCACCTAAGTATTTTCCTATCTTTTGGAGAGCTCTAAGTTTCTGTCTATACTGTTAAATTAAACACAACAAACTTGAAGTTACTTGAAGTTGTGTGTATGAACACACAGAAATGCAGCCTGTGAGAATATTGTTGAAAGACAGTGTAGAGTGGAGGGAAACAAAATTGGTGAACGTTGAACATATTGTTTTGAGAAAGGTCTCAGCAGTTAAGTGTTGTCCCTGAACTAAGTATAACTATGCACGGCCTCACAACGTGCTACTCTGCACAGGCCAAACCATCCCAGACACATCCCAGTTAAGCAGTACGGAAGGTCACTGGTACACTACCCAGGGGCATCTTCCACACTTTCTTTTATTTAACAGCACAGGCATGGCCTGATACATGTACTGGCAACCAAAACCATGCCTGGGATTCTAGCTACAGAAGAGACAGTAGGACTGACAGAGGAGAGTTGTACGGCTGACTTGCTGAACCAAGGAGACATGCTCTGGCCCATTTAATCATCCTACAAAAAGTAGAAGTGAACTCTTGCTATTATGGAACCTATATTATGAGAAATTGTGTATCAGCCATCTAGCCCTCTCTGTTGCTACATTACGAAAAAAAGAACTGTGCTGGAAGTAAGAGGGCACACTTGGGAAATCATTAAGCTGGTAGCAGGATGTTTCTGGCTCCAGTAACTTCGCAGCATACTACAAATTGAAGCAATGCAATCTTAACCTATCATGGCAGGACTGGCCCAGACACACACTTTCATCAGAATCAATCATTATCTGGCTGCCATTCCTACAGGGTAAAACAGAATAGATGAACCTGAAGGATGATTTCCATCTTTTATTGTGCTTGTAACTTATCTCTCAGTAAAACTAACCCTACCACCAATTAATTTGAAAAGAGGTCATTACTAATCTTTAATCACTTTTTTTGTGTGCAATGATCTTCACTAAGGCTTTTGTAACTATCAGTCAGGTGTTTTTAACATTCATTGATTAGTAAAAGCAAGAAAAATGTTACTGGAGGTCATCTATCTGATTAATTAATACATTTAACTTTAATGATGGGCAACACCACTTATTTAGATGACAATTAATTCAGCCCTTTTCAGGTACTTCAAGGCACCCACTTTAATAAGGCTAAATCCAGTTCATCTCAGTTAGCATCTCCAGCAATGGGAAGAGCTGTTAAGAAAAGTCGAGCTTCTGATCAGCAAGAATCAAACACAGCACCATCTTAATGGAGCTAAAGTAACTCATAAAGAAAACTATCATGGTAACATGATTTTCTACAAAGTGAAATGATATGTTCGTTAATCTATGTGTGAAATAAAAGGGAAAAATAATAAGAGTTCCAGAGCAAAGTCTGCCATTTTTGTGCAATGTTAACTGTGCACAAGGAAATTTGTACTTCCTTTAACAGATCACTTGACCTACTGAGCAGCTACAAAGTCAGCAAGTGATCTCTGTATTGAAAGTGTGGCCAGTGAAATCTTTCTTCCAGCTATGCATTCTTTGAAACTACATTGCTCTTTCTCAAAAACCATGCTGTCCTAAACACAGCTATTGCTAAAGACAAAATAACACTTGGAAGTTCAGAGCTGAAACACAGTACAAACTGGCTCCAGTCTTTCTTATACCAAAAAGGAAATTCATGTCTGAAACTTTTTATTGATAAAAAAATGTTTGTAACACACACAGGCAAATATGCATTCTGCTTCTTTTTACAAATCAAATCAGATCCTTCCATTTCAGTGCAACTTAAAAAAAAAAAAAAAATCAGGCCTTGCTTTTCAAAAAGTGAAGACTGAGAAAAGCAAGGCCTGAAAAGCAAGGTAGGAAAATCTGGAGAATAAGTTTGCTTGATTTTCTCTTCCTAACCTCCTTTTTTAGTAATTTGAGGATACTGACAGAAGCCTTACCTTTCATCTTAGGAATTATGTCAACTTACCTGAAAGACCATTTACTCTCTCCCTTTCCAAATAAAAATAAAATGCAGTAATTTTACTTCTGGAAATAAATAAATAATCAGTCTTTTATTACTATGCAGTGGGTGTGAATCATCGTATATGAATGATTATGATTTTTTGGCAGAAGATCAGTCTTTGAGTTCTCTTAAGTATGAATTTATTTTAGAAACTTAATGAAATCACTGGCCTGTAGTTTATTCTGTATTTGTTCTGACGTAAGACTTTTTACTAGTTCCCACTGCCTTATCTTATCCTGTCACAAAGAACAATGACTTAATCTGGGTTATACCTTCTCCACTTGTTTGATTGGACTAAAGTAATGGAAGGTACCTGACCACAAAGCCACTTGTCACAGAAAAACTCCCATTGGAACCCAACATCGCAGCACACCTCATCAGAAACAAGAGTCAGAGAAGACACATAAAACCTCTACGGATATCTGTACTGGCTTTGAGTAGGACCATGCTCAAGAGCTCCATCCTTGTTTTCAAAACTTCGTGGCAAAGATCCAGTTTATGAGAAAGACCGAATCAAGCCTATAGATGAAAATTATGGCCAATGTTTCTGTTATTTAGCTATATTGGACTTTCTGCTATAAGAATAAACCTTATGTGACAAAAGCTGGAGCATTTCCAGGGTCTAAGCATAAAAGAACTTCAGCATTAACAAAAAGCTGTCACAAACTTCACCGATGTCCACTCAGAATACAAGGAATGCTACCTCGAGCTTGCCCTCTATAATAAAAATGTACACATGTACTTTGCATGCTCCTTCCTTAGTAAATTGTTCTGGATCTCCACTCTTAAGATCTGTCTGTTAAGGAGTTCAAACAACCTAAACCCTTTGATGGAGGCAGTCTACTGTTGCTTGGATTTTTGTTTACAAACCAGACATATTTAGCCCAGTTTGCCTCAATGAGTTATAAAGTCATGTCTCAGCAGAATCAGGTGCTCTGCATATTTACATTTTTCATTCATGTTTAAACAGTGCAAGACAGTAAATACTGCTGCAAATGATCTTGCAAATAGATACAGAGTATCACTGGGTGGGATTTAAACCAGCCAAAGACAACATGCCTGATTCTTTTCTCATTTACGGTGGTGTAAATCTGGGACAATTTCACCCAGAAGTGATGCTTAGCAGTGGCCTAGAAAAGGCAACATCTACAATGCAAATCAAACAGCATGAACAACTGTACCTTAAAAAAAATATAAAAACCACTTTCACGGCTGTACTGGGGCTTCTCATTCTTGACTCTAAATTACAGAACTTTTGGCTACCTTAGATTTGGTAAGAGCAATTGATCCAATTCCTAAATATTTGAGGAATAGTAGGGCAGAGAAGTAATTTGTTTATATTTGTTAATGGACTTGACTACCCCTAGATTTTCTCATTTAATGCCTATGGTTTGAAAGTGATAAAAACACAGCATTAACGTACCAGCAAACTGACATGAGAGCGTGGTTAACTGATTCCACATTTATATCATTCACAGACAAGGGCTGTGAATTAAACTGGCAAGTCTGCGTGAAGCTGCTTGAAAACTCAAGTCCCAGCAATCTCAAGCAAGGCACCCAAAAACTGTGGGAACACATGGCCTTGAGGCTTCCGTTCCTCATCTGAGGAACTGAACGACCCAACCTTAGGTCAGAAGTACTGTGAAAATGAAGCCATTTATGTTTCTGAAATGCTCATACAGTGAAAAATGTTGATGGAACAACATAGAAAATCCACAGAAAAACTAGCCTTCTGTTTTTAGAGCAGAATAAAATGGCACAAGCCACGCATGAATCAATGAAGGGAAAACAAACTATTTAGTAGCAGATCACTGAAGAAATATAGTCCATTCTCTGCACTGAATGAAGCTGGGGAAGGAGGGAGGGAGGGAGGGGTGGAAAAACAACAGCATTAAATTTGTATGCGCAAGGTAACCCAAGAGTATCTCAGACAACTTCAATTCTGGCATTTCCTAATGTTCGCATGCTTGACTTTTCAAAATTAGTATCATTTTCATCTGTTTGTGTTTGTGCTCTGTGTGTGTAACAAAAAAAGAAAAGGCGTGCATGCAATGTAATTGTGATAACTAAGTATACTCAAATTAAATATATACAATACAAAGGATTTATAAAATGTTAATTTTAGGGATTGAACTTTATTTTTACGACCCCAATTCAGATGCTATATAGTCCATTCTAAAATTGACATCACTTTCTTTATATTCCTCCCACAAGAGCTCATAAATGAAAAAAAAAAAAATCATACTTTTTAGTTTTACATTTTCTTTACAAATATCCTATAAATATTGTAAAACAAACCAGAAAAAAGTGATAGTAATTTCCAACGCAGTGACATTTTCACTGAAGAAACTGTCATATTTGGTAGGGTACAGTGAACTCTCTCAAGAAAATGAATTGTAATTCCCACTATGAAATATTTCCAAAGAATATTTTTAGGAAACTCTTCTGAAAGTATAAACACATTTAAGATGATAAAAAATGAGTAGTTTTGGAAATGTTTATCCAAGGGGATCTAATTTACTTGGATCAAAAGCATGTCTCACCACACAGATTTTCCATCCAGGAAGATCAGTGCAAGTAGGAACTGTCTGTGTACAGCTATTTCTGCACACACCCCTTGCTTTAGCACAGAGTAACTTTATGATGACCTATGCAGACCAGAAACGAAACCTTTCCCTGACTGCCTCCAAAGATCAGAGTTTTCAGAATCAAACTGAAGTTTTGCCCAATATTCATTTTTTTTCACTAATGAACGCTTACTGGGGATTAGCAGACTCCCACTTACTCTGAAAGCAGGCACGAATTCCACACTACCTTACCTCTAATGAGAAAAAACATCAGTATGATTCCTAGTTCCTTTACAAGAAGCTCAAAGCTATAATAAATTACTTCTAATTTCAGTATTACAGAGTACATTCGTATTTTGTTTGCCCTAAACAGATGAGTTTATCACTTATTTAAGGGATACTTAACATACCCAATCCAATATTAGATATGAATGCAAAAATTAATCTCTTTTGTTACCTTTATTTCACAGTAACGCGATACACAGCTGTCACAGTTTGCTAATCTCGGGTATAAAGGGAAATGGCATTTCCTGGGAAATGCAAGTGGTGTTAATTTTTTTTCTTGTCTTTCCCTGCCACCTAGTGGTTGCACAGAACAGGGCTCGCCCTCTTAACACTGTGCACTACTCTTGACAAGCTGTGAAGTCCCATGCTATTAAACATGTTCCTCTGACACTCCGTAAACCCCCCTTGCCTCTTACACATACTTTAAGGCCATTGATGCCTAACTCTGTGCGTGGCACACTGGGATCCCTGATCTACTAGTCTGCGGGTGATATCAAAATAAACAGATTAAATGGTACTTACCCGCTATTAATGTTTTTTTCTTCTCACAAAACTGTAGCTCAAAATATTTTATAAAACAGCTGGAAAAATCATTCAAGGGTGTCTTAGCATGTCCAAAGGCCTCCAAGATACAGTTTACCTGCAAGACAATGGTAAAGAATAAGAGAGGAAATAAACAGGAAGATATTTAAATAAACATCAGTGAGGTTGGCTCGTGATCAATAACTGGAGAAAAAAAAACCCAAAACGGTTTTTCAGCTTGGAATTTAACAAATTCTTTGAAAGTTTTTTTCTAAATAGAAATTAAAGTAAGATAGCTCAAAAGAAAGAAAAAAAGTGCTGTCAGAATAGTGGAAGTTGTAAATGGAAGGGGAAGACAATGGCTCACACTTGAGTTGTGTCCTTACAGGTAGTTTGGATACAAGTAACTGGAGTCACATGCCCAGAGCTGGCATGCTTAGCAAAAAGATTAGAATCTGACTGTAAAGTTACAGTCAGTTGATACTAATAACCAGCCAAAGGAATTTACAAGCTTTATATGATGCCAGAAATGGCATAAATTATTGATTTCAAATAGAATTACTTCAACATTATACTAGTGAAAAAGCGAGGAAAAAAATAGATTCTGACTTTTTTATGGCATCTCTCACTAATGCATTTCCATGTTACGTCTTCATGGTCACAGCAATTATTTTTAAAAGATTAAAAATTTTAAAAATAATAAAAATAAATATGCCATCTTTATTCCATGTTTTCTCTGTATTTACCTTTTTTGTGTTTAATTAATTTCTTACACTAAATGGATTCCCTTCAGCACTTTCCTCTTTTGCATCCTAAGAAATTGATTGCAAGATGGCCTCAATACACTCTTGGTCTGATATAACCATGGTTTGCTGAAGCTGGATGACCTAGATGGGGAGAGGTAGGAGGGAAGAGGGCTGTGGAGTGGCACAGATAATGTGTGGCTCCAATCACAAAGACAGAAGCTCTAAAAATCAGACCCTTCAGAATTATTAATTAAACCAGCTATTTGTGCAGTAGGTGGCAGCAGAAAACTAGTCAGCCTAGTTTTGGTTCCACTCCAGTAGTGTTGTCTGGGATGTATTTGCTCATTAAGCTAATTCAGCACTTCGTTTAACCTGTGCAGCTTTATTAACTTTAATGGTGCTATGCATAACTGCAGCAGGAATGAATTCAGGCTATTGTCTTCATTAAAGCACCTTAAAAGGCAATTAAACCAGAATCTCTACTTGATTCCCCATGGGTGGGATCTGCTACATCTACCTTCACTGTCTGAAGTCCCATCTAAGCTAGTTACAAAGGATCTTTCTATAAGCAAACGGCAACTCATTCTTCTTAATATGTGATGATTCTCTTCTGCCCACATTGACTAAGGCTCATTGCACATATGGCTACATCTATACTATTAAACTAAACAGGAGCAGGACTCTCTATCCTCTATGGTAAGTGGCATGCTAAGGTTCGCATTTGGACATCTACCTCTTCTTTTGCAGGATAGGGTGGACATACTGTTGTGAATGCTCCCTGGCAAATGCTGTCCTCTGAACTGTGGCAAGAGGATCTGTTAGGGATTTAAACTGTGTCAGGGAGCAGGGTGACAACTGCATGTTAGGGACTGTTGTTCAGTTTATTACCTAGAGTAGAGTAGGTTAAAGTAGTCTACAAAGTTAACTAATTTTTAGATGGAGAAAATTAGGCCTGGTCAGCCCCCTCCCACATTGATTCCTCTTCTTAACCGAGGACAGCATCGTATTCCATTTGCACTGGATCATGATGGCTGTCCCTGGGAATTTTCCTGTGGTCAGAAGACAAGTTGCAGCAGAGACAAGACTACTTCCCACACCTCCTGATTCCCACTGCTGCCATATTTGTACCCAAAACACAGAGGTTTCTGTTGCCTATTCACGAAGTTACTTATTTACTTAGTTCTACTCATTACGTAACCTGAACTTTAGGAAAGAAAAGGACTTGGAGGATCTGACCTGAATTTTGCAGTTCTACTTGAATAACACCTATGGTCTGAGCAGTTCAAAATTGTAAGTAAACCTGTGTAGGTAGTAAATAAAAAAATACACGGTAGAAATAGAAACCACTTGTAGGGCTCCTGGGTTTAAAATAAAGTAAGTGTCTTGTCACTATATAAGGGTATTAGTGCAACACTAGACTTGAAAATTTAAATCAAAAAAAGTGACAAAATAACAAGAGTATTCTTAACATTGTCATGTGAAACCTAGATTAACTGCATCAGTTTAGGAACACCATCAATGAATCAGATAGCACTGTGAAAAACACTTTAACATGGCAATTGTATGACTACACAAAGTAAAATAAAGCCACAGCTTATTCAGTTGTAATGTTTTCAGTGTCATCAGGCTTTTTAATGTCTTCAAAAAACACAAATGTAACACTGTTTTCTAAAATCCACCCAAAATCCATAGGACTTTTATTACCTTATCGGCTGGAATATACACAATATGAACCAGTGTACCTGTAGCCTTTCCCACATTGCAATAATCCTGATTTGTAGGTTGTCTGTTAGTGTCAGCTGTACTTCTGACACTATGTTATCATCTTTCTGGACCAGATCATGCAAAATTCAGGAAGAAAGCAGTGTGTTTTGAATGATGCATGTGATCCTATTAAAAAACCCCACAATGAACGATTCTAGAGTTCTGCTGGATATCATGCATGTGGCAAGTGAAACCTAAAAAAAAAGTATCTTGGGTTGACTGTAAGTGCTGCAGAGGAAGGTCACCAGAGTGGGTGAAAGAGTCTAAACTTTTTTTTTTTTTCAAGTATGAAACTCAGAACTGAGTTATGACAATGCAGACTGTGCTAAAACGTTCCATGTAAATCTGTCTCTGAGCTGGGATCTCAGATGAGAAGTTTCATCAGGAAAGGCAATTTTTTGAAAGAATTTGAATTGGCAATCTAGGGTTCAGCATAATTTAAAATGTCAGTATGAACCTTTACAGTAGTGTTACAGCTGTAACAATGAAACACAAGTTGCAATGTTCAGTCAAATGAAAACTTTACATTTACAATGTACTAGAAAGGACACAAATTCATCTGATATGTGAAGCAGGTTCTCATGATTTCGTGTTATGCCTTGGGCAGAATTTGGTTCTGCTGTGGGAATTCAATATGACTAAGCAAATACTCAGAACTCTTGCCTGTGTCATAAATATATTTAGTCTACAAATACTGGGCCATATAACTTTGTTCAGTCCTTACAGTTTTCCTGTAACTTTCCAGTTTCTGTCTTATATATTACTACTTCAGATGCCAGGCAATATGAACAATGAAGGTAGGAAGAAACAACAGAAAAGTGGAGGGATGGAGGAGGGAAGCAAACTCAATGGTGCACTCTAAGCATGGAGAAGGAAGGGAAAGAAGCAAAAGAGATGGAAAGGATAAAGTTAGTGAAGCCTGATTAAGAAATTCATGTAAGAATTTCTTACTTGAATTATAAGAAGTTGCTTTCTTTATAGACAACTGAACCAAACAAAATGTAATTTTATGCTCTTCCTTCATTTATCTGCTTGATCCAATTTAAAAGGCTGTTTCTACCACAGCCAGTTAGATTTTTCACAAGTACGATGGCCATGCTGGTTGGTCAGTCTGTTATCTGTATAGTTTAGTTTCTGAAAATGAGAGGGCAGCAAAATATAGTATCTGTCTGGCCATTGCTTTATCTATTCAAATCTCACCTCAAAGGAGAAATCAATTAAATAAAGGAAGAAACAAAAGAGGGAAGGACAAAAAGGTCTTCATACTCAGGCAGGGATGGGATCTCTGCACCATTCATTTTCATTCAACTCTTATGGGACATACACACAGCTCTGGTGAGTATCTTATTTGTTTACCTGGTAAACTGTAGTCTTAGGTGACAAGACAGATGTCTCATTACTATATGTGATGTGTCAAACTGCTTTTATCTATGTCCTCCATGTTCTATAATGAGCTGGAGTCTGACCCAGGACTTCAAACTCCTATTGGCATCAGTAGGAGGTTTGTGGTCCAAGACTGCAAAGGTTTGCAACCTGGATATATGTTATGCAAAGACCTCAAATAACAGGTCACAAAGCCATATTTAAACCAGGTCTTACAACAAAAGAAATCATGTGAAGTCAAGAAGGTCACTGTCACAGCTAATATGAAACTAGTATCTCTACAGGATTGACAAGGTGCTCCGTAAGAGCACTATCCCTTGCTCAGATCTTCAGCTTCTAACTTTCTGAAAGAGTTTCAAAAGTCAGATGATACTTGATGTCACCCTCTAAAATCTGCATGCATCTCTGCCCTCTTAACGACTTCGCTCTCCAAATGTTAATTGTACCATGCTGCCTCTGTTCTTAAGAAGGAGCATTAGCCTTCTGTCTTTATAATGGTAGTGTCCAAATTCCACGTTCCTTTGCCTGTTATCACTAACAGGAACAGAAAAAAGTGAACGAGGACATTAGTCCTGTGATACTCCTCCCCTAGAGACATTTCATACTCTTGCAAATTACTGATCTTATGCCTGTTTTGTCCAGAAAGTCAGTGAGCTTACAGATAGACATATCTTGCCCCCCACCCTGCCTCTTACTGCCCACTCACATTGGCCACTCCACTGGCACTTGTGTGTCATGATGATGAAAATAATTTTGTCCCTCCACAACATACTTAATCCAAAATCACAGCTGCAACCTGCTATGACTATACCACAGGTTACCAACAAGATTAGCAACAGTGGCTCTTCGGTTATTTCATCTGTTAAGGAACTTCTCTGAAGTTAAAACATCTCTGAAGTTTAGTACAGTCACAGTTACAGATGATGCCACTGAGCAGAACTGTTCATACATGTTTGAAAATCAGATCTGAAATAATTCATAGTTTGTAACAACTCACAACTTGTCCAATGTGTACTGCCCTTTATATCCAGCAGATAAATATTTGTATCATTCTGACAGCTGAACAAGACTTGATATTTAACAAAGTGTTGTAGTATTTTATTATTTTGCTTGCTTAGGTCCAACTTCATCTGCCAAAAATAGCTTCTTTAACAGAGGGCTTTTCCATTTTTCAGAAAAACTTTCTCATAACTGGAGAAATTGGGGAGATGGGGGTGGGCAGAAG